TCAGCATGACAAGATCAAATAAATAGAAAATATGTATAGGGGAAATTATCCTTGATAAAATTCAAAAACAGAACAATATATTTCCGATCATAAAGATCATTTAGCAATTACTTTTTTTTTGAGTTTTCGGTACTTTCAAATGTAACTTTCATTTAATGCGGTACAATATAAGTGTTAATGCCCGTTTTGTGAGCCTGTGGGCACTTGTTTAAACTGCTTCTTTGTGCTTTTGCAGATGTTAATGCATGACTAAAGTGCATTAGCGCATTTCTTGCATAAAGTTTACGTCCAATCGATTATTCCGCGTTTTGTTATTAAGTTTCGTGTAAGGCAGCCATTGCTTGTCCTATGCTTTCCACTTGCTATTGCGACGTCATTTTACAGTTATGGTTTGAAATTACCGGGACATTCATTGCATTAAGCTGGTTTTACATTGCTATCGGAAATACTTATGAAAATTACAGTAACCTACTCTGACGTGAGGTCATCAATTCTCACTAAGTGACTAACTTGTCCGATTCTTTTCCCGTGTTATTGCGACGTCATTTGCCATTATAGATTGCTAATAAAACTACACCATTGTAACACTCATTAAAATACTCTTTTCTGACAATGAATGACTTAAGAACAAACACAGTAAAATTAATGTGTTCGTAATTATGTATGTACAAATCAGGGTGGCAATTTGAAAGCAAATATTTGTTTAATTTTACTAAACATAGATCTTTTCCTTGTTGAAACATTTAATTTGTTTTGATATTAACTTTACTTTACAGTTGTGTAAATATTTCAATGACAGCTTATACAAATCCTGTCCTTCAAATTTGATAAATGACAAACATCATTATTCGTTTAAGGTTTGGTAACTTATTATTATTATTATTTTTATTATTATTATTATTATTATTATTATTATTATTATTATCATCATCTTCATCATTATTATTATTATTATTATTTATTATTTATCATTATGAACCTTTTGTGAAACTACTTCAATTTAAGTCGTAAATGGATACTAGTAATTGTCGCGAAAATCTAGTAAGCACATTTGGTTAAAAGCTAAAGATTGCCTATTTATCTTAATTTGGTTTTTACGAATGTGCAATTATCTTTATGTCTACACTAACTCTTATTATGTATAAGGAGGAAATATGTCCGTATAAGGGCTAAAATTGTTTTCATTATGCTAAAGATCAACAGGAGAAATAAAGTCTGTCACTTTATCAAAAGTTTGCTAAGTTCCTTTGCTTTATTTATAAAAGACGTATTTTCGATCTTTGTTGAACCGTCTCGTTCTGTCAAAAACATTTTTGTATGATATTTTCAGCAATTATAGAGTTATTTATTTAATGACATTTAATATCGCACTCGCGTTTCCCTTCGTCATTGCCTAACATTATTAAAATACCAATCATGCTGAGTATCGAAAATCTATAATTGACATTATCCTGTCTGCCTATTAAGTTGGTAGGGGTCTTGCAGATAGGTCAATCAGTGATCGTTATCTATTTCATGCTAAGATTCTTGCAAAGTCCGCTATTGTCCTTAGACAAGCTACATGAATAAGATAATGATGCAGCGCTTCTACATGTTGAAATTGTTTTTCTGACAATTTAAGGATAGCTCTATTCAATCGGTTCATAATGGGCTAACCAATATCCTGACATATGGGCAGATGGAGTAAGATAATCATACATGTATTATACAAAAGTTCAATAAGTATCGATATATGAAGAAAATAAGAATCAATAAAATGCACTCGTAGAAAAGAATAAAAAATAAATAAAGTCGTGCAAATATAAATATGAGGACATGTATGTACAGTGTATATTTTCTGATTTCTATTTCTATTTCTATTTCTATTTATCTTACCATGATATTTCGATAAAAAGATTAATAAATTAAGATTGAATATTTAAGAACATCTCTGCCTTCGAAACAAATAGAAATTAAATATTAGATGAATAGACATATTTAAAAAATATTTTAATTTATCAGATTTGTTATAGGTAAGCATTTTTAAACGTTTCATAGTAACATATTTTTTACTAATTCAGAAAGGTATCTTCCAAATTTTACCAAGAGAAACAAGAGTAATTTTCAATTAAATGATTTCTATTAATTATAGAAACTCGTAAAGAAATGTATAATTTAAAAGTAGATAACCAATGTCGGGCATACTTCAGGTTGGTATAATATTTAAGTCGAAATACACTCCAATGAATTTGTACACGTGAATTTTTTGTCCCAGATTTCATTAAACGCAAAACAAATATTTTACTGTTTTACATACTTTTATAAATTTAACTATTTATCAAATGAAACCATTAACATTTCATATAAACCAACATTACACAAGATTATTAATAATTCACGTAAGTGACATAACAGTTTCGCGAAAAACATCGTCTTAGACTCTGAATGACTGGGTTAGATGACTAAGTGGGCGTATTTCATTCTCAGAGTAATCTTAATGTCGTTAAAAATAAACCTATAATGACATTACAATCATAGACCAATTATTTTCGATATGTGTCGTGCAGCTCAGATTGCATACCCTGTGAAAAAGATTTATTGGTCTTAAAAAAAGAGTAAAATATTATCGCAAATCAAACTGTTCATTAAAATATTATTATAAGGCAATAATGGATAGAACAGAAACAATTGATGTATTCTGCAAATTGCACTATGTAATACATAATGTATAGCGACCGACTTGAACTTCGCCATAGACAGGTAAGACTCTAGTATAATATATTGCAATCATGATGGAGAAGTATGTATCTTTCGCACTGAAATGCTTTTTCTGAGACAGTCAGCACCGAAAACGTAAGGAACACCAAATGATTTTATATAAGTGAAGTGCAAGACAAACAAAAATCAAGCTATTAAATATATTGTGGGTTTATTGCTTGATATAAACAATGATATGTGGATATTGTGCAGCAAATTAAATTTAAGCTGTACACCGTTGGGATAACCCCTTCCAATAAGTGTTTCAGGAATTAAATAGATATTAATTTGTAACTGTGTAATCAATAGTTAGGCAATAACAAAAACATAAATCTTATAAAATTAATGTTTATTATAAAAATGATTAACATATAAAAATAAAAGTCAATATTTTTTCATAAAATCACAATTAATATCTGATAGTATTTTGGAGTTTAGGTACATTTGCAAAAAATCAACCAAAGTATGTGCATATGCAAATATAAAGCATTACATGCATGTTACAAAATATATTTCTGGACTCAAGAATTCAACTTCGTTAACAAATATTGTTATACCTTTTCAAAAAGAAACTTTTTCATAAAGGTTACACGACCGATTTACTTCCTATTCATAACAAGACATTTAAGGTACAGGAGGTTTTGTAGTTTTGCCTATGCAAATATTAACTTTTTCTAAGCAATAAAATAAGCAAATCAAGTGCATGTAAATAAATATGAACATGAAATAATTATAAAAGAAATATCTTAACAAAAATGTATATTTTATGATGTCACGATGTTCGCATTTTTCCACCATCTCGTTTAATAATCAGAACAATAAATGTTCTTATGAAGCGAGTACAGAAGCCTTAATGACATGCATTGTATAAACTAGGACCATTATACTCCTTTAGTATGCCATGTGGGGCAAACCATTGTCTAATGCTATTCTCTATTATACGGTTTCAAAACTTCTCACAAAATGGTTCGGTTTGAACCAATCTGAATAATTGTTCTCATGCAATTGGTCAATTTAATAGTTACATTTAATTTCATTGTCTATTATGACACATAAATGTCTGTTGTCAAAATCGATTTTACGTGTTAGACATTTCGATTTTGCCAAAGGTATATGGTTCATGTAAAATGTTTTAAGCATGAACAGCTGCATAATCTTAATTACTTTACTTTCATTATGTCAACATTCCATGTGGAAAACATGACTTATTAGTGGACTAATATTGTTTCCGTTATATTTTTTTAAAAGTTATCGTATCGCTCCATTTCCGAGGTATAATGTTGCTTCGACTTCATTTTGCTCAGGAAAGGAGAGATACTCGTCCTTTTTCCATATGTAAGAAATATCTTCTTTCTTCATCGCCATTTTCAATGTGATTAAATTCATAAAGACTGCATTAATGTCTGCTTGATAATTTTTAAGACATTTTTAAACTATGTAACATGTACATATAATATATGTGAGTAACGTATAGTAAAAGTAAAGATGAGGAGTGAAGTTTCCTCTTAACTCATTCAGTTTAAAACAATTTATTAATCAAACAATGAGTACAAGATTCTTACATTTCATTTTAACTTTATTTACTTGTTTGCATCAGACGACAGGGAAAGATAAAAGTAATACCTGTATTGTTTTTTATAAGTTGTCTTTTGAACAATAAAACAGAAATATAAAGCATTTATGTTTGTGTCATTGTCAATATATAACTTTTTAATAGTTTTTTTAAGATAAAGGTCTTTAAATTTTATATTAATCTTTGATAGTACATAACTATCATATTAAAAAACAAAATTTAAAACTAACAAAACAAAACTGCTTATCATTTGAAAAATATCTTACATATTTTTAACAAAAGATAAAAAAGAATTAAATAATGAAAAAAATCGTAACAATAGAATTCTAGTAAATATTTCATTTGGGATATACGAGAATGATATTTTCTGTTCGTTGTCCAAACAGCTCAATTTGAAATTTGAATATCATATAACATAAATTGTGACAAAGAATGAATAATTTACAAATTAATATTGGTGACTTAAACAAATTAGTAGGACCATGATAATTCTACTATAAAACTATCAAACAAGGATGTTTAAGAAAGCCTTTTATACCTATAGTTGTACTTCAAGGAGAATGCATAACCTTCCCCAAATTTTGTCAATCAAGGAAAACACTTTATTAATTCTAATTACTTTTTAATCACATTGTTTTTGTTTTTGTGCAATATTATATTTCACTTAATCCACATCATGTTATCATTTAAAAAAAAAATTTTAATTCAACTATAATCTTTGTCATTTCTTTTCCCCTCGAGTCAAATGTTACTGAGATTATGGAGATGGATTCATGAATAATTTAACTGCTGCACAAAGTCCCAAATCTAAATTCCGGTTAGCTTCTATACTCCCTTAGTCATTTACAGTTATTTTCCGGGACATTATTATACAATGATACTAAGAGGAAGATTTCCGAATACTTCCCTAATCTCCATGATGAATATTTTAAACAAGCCGATTTGAAATGAACAGAAGTGTGTGATATCGTGGAACTAGTTAACGTTTCATGACAGACATCCGTCATTATGTAGTATTGAAGACAATGTCATTCCACCACTTGTTCCACACCGAAGTGCATGACTTAATGTGTCAAATATATGGTTTAATCGAAGCGTCGAATCAAATTTGACACATTTGAGTCAGCTGAATTACACATCGTTAGACCTCTTTCTTAGCACACACTCTTTACAGAAGTTCCATGATTTTCTGCCAAAATTCCACTTTTGTTCTCCCAGACGTTTACGAGCATTTTTAAGCACATCTCCTGCTTCATAACAATCAAATGGATGACTTTTATAAATCCAGATGTCTTGTGTTTGCAAGTCTCTATTTATTGAATACTCTTTAATTGTTCTGGTAACGAGAAATCGGTCTGTACAATAATTTATCACTTTAATAGTTTTGCTTTTCTCGTCTGTGTGGGACAGGATACCTCTGTACCAGATAAAATTATACCGATACTCTACAATAACACCAGGGTACAAGTCGGACCAGACATAAGCAGGAAAGCGCTGAAATTCTTCATATTGTTGACCAGCCTTTGGTAAAAGGAGAACTCTACTCTCCTCGTTAGAACTTTTACTTGAACTAAGAGATGGTGATTTTTTTGTAACAAAAGCTGGATGGTGAACAACTTTTGCCCAATGTACAAAATCTGATGATCTGTTTCCATTGATTGAGTATCGCCTTTCGCCAAGTCTTGAACGAGCTCGCGCAACGGCAATATTAGCAGGGTATGTAACGTATCCATGGTAACTCTTCTTATATAATGGGAATTTCTCCAAATCAACATCAATACTTTCTTCTTTAACAGTCCGTGTAGCTAAAATGCTATTTGAAGTATAGTGAATTATCTTCAGATTGTTTGCATTCTTATTGACCTCTGTAACCAGTGCCTCGTGCGTAAAGAGACGATAGGACGAGCATTTTATAACATCCCCTTGATTAAGTTGATCTAGTTTTGACACCTTTTGATCATTTTCTTTGACAACGATTTTCCGTGCAAATTCTAAAGAAGCCGGAAATAAAGTCCATTCTCCGTTTTTCCCAACCAAAGCTTGTGCCCGTGTGATAATGTCACTTGTTTTACGTCTGTAGATTGGATGGTACTTATAAACATATACACGATCGACATTAAGGTCAAATTTTAACCTCTCTTCACGTACTTTACGTTTACACAAATCACCACAATGCACAACGGTTATGCATATATAACGCTTTGACGGACAACTTTCATCAACTTCAACTTTGGTACAGACTGCAACTCTATGCAACAAACGTCCATATCCAACTATTAGTCCTTCTTTTACATCATTTGGTATGTATGCCCTAATCATTCCACATGACATCGACGAATGCCTTCTACCTCTTGTGTGGTCGACATCAATTGTATGAACATTTGTATTTGAATTGTTAGGGTCTAGTTCTTCAACATATTGAAGCCCAAACTCAGCTTCATTAATATCTCTATCATTTTGTTCTTCGTTAACTTTCGCCCAGTGACAAAAATGACGAGAAAGATTGGTCAGGCCATATTGTATTTCGCCTAATCTTTGTTTTGCCCTCTGAACAACAATTTCTGGCTCATAAACCTTACATCCGGAAAAATCATGGTTGTAAATGGCTTTTTCCGGATCCAATTCAATGGTTTCCTCGACGATAGTTCCACGGCCAAAACCTATTGGAAACTTACAGTAAATGACCTTTATTTGACCGTTTGTGTCATTGCCTTCAGGACTTTTTCGGACCTCACTCACGACTCCAGTTTTTGATTTGAACCAGTTGCCAATTGTAATGACATCACCGATAAAGATTTGATCCATAGCTGTAAGTTTTAATAGCTGTTCATGAAGAGGTGAACCGTTCAGACTTCTTTTCGACAAACTTAAAAAACGCAACCAACCACAAGCACCTTCAATTAATGAAAGGATATGAAGAATGCATGCCTGGTAAACTTTGTACCAACCGCAATGTGAGCAGCTGTTCCCAGAATTCATAGATTTGTATATCTCATAGGAGCGAAAACCGACGAAGAAAATAGTTAGAATGGGCCAAGCGTGACGCAAATTGATCCGAACAGGTAGCAAAACGTCCAAAGAAAGTTTGCGACCTGTGATCCTGTAAAGTAAACTGTACAAGGCATTGTTCAGCTGTTTCCATAAAAATTCACGCAAAATATCTATGACATGCTCTACTTTGAAACTACCATTAATTACACGATAAATGACCAAGGATTTACCAATAATGGACCAGCATTTACGCACACTGATCAGAACACGTGACAAAGACAAAACGCGCATATGTAATTTGCCGTATGCCATACGGTAAAATAAACTGTCCAAATAATTTAGCAGTTGCTGCCAAAAAATATCAAACAAAAGCTCTTTGACATTCTCTACTTGAAAGCTGCTTTCATTTCCAATACAACAAAAGTTACAAAAAGATTCACAGTTACGCTTAGATATGGAATACGATACAAAACGAGTGTTTTCTTTAAGTTTCTCTGCTCTTTTTAAGACAACATCTGCATGGTTTGTCTGATGCCTGTATCGAATAATATGAATTTCGTTTAAATGCAAATCTAAGAAATTTGTAGTTTTTCGTATTTTGATCGTAGTACTGAATGGTGTTGTGTAAAAATGAATCATAGTCACTATCGCACTTGACGGACAAATGACATCAACTTTTTTAACAATCGCATGATGAGTGTATGCCGACCATTGCTGGCCACAAATATTAAAAACGCTGTGCTGTCCGCTCATGCATATGTGGTCTGCCACTTTAAGATCTCCAAAATCTAAAAGTCTTTCTCTTTTATAGCATGATATACACCTTACTTTAAGTGGTGGTTCATCATCCGGATTATCAGGCAGAAATTTGGAAAACATTTTTTGTAAAGCAGATTAAGTATTGTCTTGTCTATTGGCTGTCAACTTAATGTACAAGAATATGCCTGTAACACAATATATTAAAATCCTAAGAGTAAGACTATTGGAGATGAAAACAGAAAAAAGCCATTTCCGAGGACTGAAGTTCTCTTGAAATATAAGAATGTGACACTGCACGGTGATAAATCGATTGACTCGTTAAGCACGGTCATTATATAACTGTTTAATTAGCGCACAGTTTTGAAGCACTGGAAACATATCAAATCATCTTAACGTGCCTGAAAAAAATATTTCAATAAATAGAAACAAATTTGACAGTAGCATTTGTGAAGTGAGTATATAATTATCTTAAATGAAAGATCATGAGAAATCAATTGAATTGTCTTTGACGTATACTTTTATCATAAATAAATAAAATGCTTTATGAAATTCAGGAAATAAAGTAATTAATGCTTAACAAGACGCTGTCTTACCTATCCAAGTCATTGTTGTTGTTTTATGATTTTATTTAGAAATTAATATACTATTGTATGTGTTATGTGCTAAGAAGCATAGACAGTACCTGACACTATTTAGTGCTGTCTATGAACAGGCTCAATCAAACCGAGCCTGTAACATTATCAATTTTGCCGTTTTGGACTTTCTTTATGGATTCTATTTCTCTCTTTTTTTTATATACAGCCATGTAGATTTATTCTTGTTTTTGTAACTAACCTAAAGCTCGTTTCTGTAGTTAAATTAAGTCACAAAATATAAGGAGTCAAATGTTAAAGTTGAGCTGACATAACGCAAAAATTTAAACTTTAAAGAAAAACTAACCTTTATAACTTGATTCTTGGTACATCACAAAGTCTTGTCGGTATAATAATTTCTGAAATAATTAAATGCAGTAACTTTCAAATTGGAAGAATACGTTTTTGTTTCACTAAACGTCGATAAACTAAATTAACTGCAAATCTAAAATATGATCTACCATTACGATATAAAGATAGAAATAAGGAAGCGTGCATTATTTCACCACAATGCGTTTTATGAATAGTCAATGCACAGAATGGATTCGGTACTCCGATCCAAGAAATTTTAACATCATACAGTTATATCAGTATAATTGAATTTTAATCTTGTATGACTGTGTAGAGATCATATAGTAATGTATATGGGCGTGGACGGTAACTTGCAGTTTCCAGGTATGTTCGTAAACAGACTCAACGAAAGCTAGCCTGTAATATTTTGATTTTATTGCCGGCTTTAGGAATTCCATTTTTTTCTATTTTATAACTTTTGTAAAATACAAAACAAAAATTATTCTAGAGCCATGGAATTACAGGTACAAAGCCAATTATAATTCAATATTTTTTACAATAATTTTCAATATTTTATGTACTTTTGTTTTTCATGCAAAAGGGCCATTACAAATCACTTTATGAACATAATCGAGTTAGAACAGTTCTTGGTTCTGCCATCGATAAAGTCTCATTGCTTCTTCAGTATGATTTGATTTGCGAAGAAAAAAATCAATTTTACTTTTTGGTGTATCTTAAAGAAGAAAACATTCCATGTTGTCTCATCGAGCTAATTACTTCGTATAAAAAGATAATCATTATTTAGTTATAAATGTCTATTACGGTTGTCAAGATAAACATGTAAGATTTAACGCCCTAATCTATTATGTTTCACGTAATTGTGAAAAATTGAATAACATGTCGCTCTTGTGTTATGCGTCTTTTATACGTACGCAATTGATCAATAACCTCAAACATTTTCACATTTGTCTGTAAACCTAACTACATGACAATTATAAAAGAATAACAAGTCTAGATTGGAAAGATTCCAAATGCGCAAATTCAAATTAAGATACGGTTTGTAGTTTTGGCACAGTAATTGACATGCAACTTATCGCTTATAAGGAACTAATTTCTTAGTCCCAATCTAGTTAAAAGTACAGAAAATTACACTTTTGTAACGAACTCCAAAATATTGGCTATCCGTAAATAGACTTTCGTTTTCATTGGCACGGATTAAAACTCGACCGAATGTACCGTTTATCGTTGTATGTACTTCAATACATCTATTAAAATGAATTTGTATAGTTTTCTATTTAGGACATTTTTAGCATGAGCTCTTTTCACCAAGATAAAACGGTTATTTATTTCTTTTCGTCAATAGTTGTGCTCGAGTAAAATAATTATAATAATTTAAAATCGGTTTTCATCATAATCACGCATGCTTGCAATCTGCAATTTACGCTAGATTTAAATGAAAAGAAATCTTTATCTTCCATAAGTAAAAGTCACCCTTAAATTATAAAAGAAGATTTTCAAAATCTTGTTTATTCTCAATCATGGAAAGAAAACGAAAAGAGTTCTGAAACAAAATATTATATTTTATGAGAAATTGACATAGGGAGTAAATCTTAAACTGGAATAGCAATTATTTAAATTCCAAAAAGTACGCTCTTTGGGTATTGAATATATGACTAATATTTCTTAATCAAATGCCCTTCAAAATGGAGGACGATGGTAAACAATCAGTTCGTTAAATGTAAATTTGTTCGCTATAAAAACTCCTGATACAGGGAACTAATTCGCTTTATGCTTACAAGGAACTCCGGATATAAGGAACAGATTTTGAATGTCCCAATTAGTTCGTTATAAGCGAAGTTTACTGTAATATGCTAATTAGAATGTGACTGCGTATTCAATTGTAACCATTCATAATATGTTCCTTTTATCTTACAATTCTTTTTTATAATGTTATTGTTTTCAAATCGTCATTTTTATCGTTTGTCGACAATAAGGGCCAGGCACATCCTTATTAGTTTTAAAACCATTGTTTCATATGTTTAAATATGGCACATCAGTAAGATATTTACTTAATTAATAAATTAGTAAAGTATTAACATTCAAAATTTCTCCTACTGAATACGAATATCTAGTACAAAACACCTTTATGTTATGTTCAATAACATAGAAAAACTACTTTTCACTTCGAGGTAACATTTTTCTGAAGTCTTACCGAAAAAAAGTTGTTCAAATCAAATCTTTTCTGTACTTATTCCTTGATCTTTTTTAATATCATGTATTGTACAGAGGAAATTAAACGCGTTCGTATTATCTTAATACTTCAACGAAAATTTTGAACAGAATTCACACTTTAAAATGGAGTCATTACCATCTGCTATAACAATGATGAGGAAAAAACTTAATTAAGCCTTAGTTCAACTCGCAAATGCCTATTATTCAATTTAAGTTCGGAAACAAGACCAAAGATTTTACGGCTTTTCTTTGACGGTAAGAAATATCAGTTTACTGCCCTAGTCATGGGTTATTCATGCAGTGCAAGAAAATGGACAAAATTAATGAAACCTGTTTATGCTGGTTATGACTTTTTGTCGGTTATTATCGGATTCAGAAGTAAACCATACGGATTGCAAGTAATGTACCCAATCATGTTGCACATATTTTACGAAAAGAAAGAAAACGATATAAAATGTTTGTCAATGACCTTTAAAATTACTCGATTTACTATTCCGTCGTACTTCGGTCGTCATCGTGGATTAAAACTGCTCTTTCACATGAACATTTACACTTTTTAAGAAAAGGTTAGACAACTTCTGTGTGTTCAATCCTCTTAAAGGGCTTGTTTGCGTGAAAAGGGAAATTGGACATCTTTGAAAACATTACCAAACAAAGTATTTTATTCTGATCATATAATAAAACAGAAAGAATGCTTCTTGGATCTCAGACAGGATTATCTAGCGTTTACACCGGTGCTAGAAAACTCTGTCTTACACCCCCCATGTAAGACAAGTCTCGTGCTTTTAAATGACGTCATTGACGCGCGCCTTTTATGAATGATTCGCGTTCTTATGATGACGTCATTTTTCCGTTATGAATGAAATTGTATGTTCATACGCTACTATAAGAAAAAAGTGCGTGATGAGAATATCAGTTTTTATAAATTCTGTTCCGAAAATAATTGACATGTAATATGCAAGAAAAAGAATCAAACACCGGCTGGTAACTCTGTTAAGCGAAAACTCGACAGAGCCTCGTTACTGCTGTAAACAGTTACCCTCGAGCTAGATATTCCGGTCTGTCGGTATAATCTATGGACATGGGTAAAGTGATATTCATTTATCATCATCATACAATAATTGTATATGGTTCTATTTATTGTATAATGTTTAAATGATTATATGTCTCGTATAGATTATAAAATTAGGCCATTGATAACTACACACATCTGTGAACAAATTTAACAGTATAAACATAATTATATAGAACTCTTCCTTCAAGAGTTCATCAAATATGTGAAATTTTGAATGCTCTGCTTAAGTAAAAAAACAACTATTAATAGTTATTTATTTTATAGTTATTTGTCATTTTAAGATAATAAAGAAAATTTAAACAGATGTCAATCAACAACACAAAGAAATATTGAATTAAATATAAATAATTATATGATAGCTAAATACCTGAATGTTAACTTTTCACGTAATTTGAGATAAACACATTTTTTCCTATTTTTCCGGATTTTTTCCAGTCATATTTTTGAATGTGTCGGATGAGCATGAAAACAGGCTATGCCAATTTGTACTGCGTCTTTATGACTTCGATTGCAAACTAAAAATAAGTTTTACGTGTTTAATTATAAATAACGCAAACGTAACACTAAATATTTTTCATCTAATTTTGTTTGACGGCCTTTCAAAAAATGCTTGCCTTTCATTGAAGAGTAGATAAATGATAAAAGGTATGACTTGTATAACGATTATTCTTTGTCAAATAAAGTTGTTGACTTAAAATGTGTTCTAAAATGTAAAGGAGAATGGTTTGAAAAACGTTACAATATTTTATGTCAAATAAATTTGTTGGCTTACAAATATATTTGTAAAAAACGATTTATTATATACTTATAATGAAACATGAAGAGATATTGATGATATAAAATATATTTTTCATTTTTCGTGTTTTTACTGTAAAAATTTATTTTTCACTACTGTAACAGTGAAACATATTTTTCGTATTTTCACTGATTTATTGCCGGACTTCTTTCATCTAAATTTAGCTTATACACAAAATTATAGGGTAGTGTTTTAAATTGTAAAGTAAAAAAAAGAAAAAAAAGTATATAATAAACAGAAAATTAAAGTTTTGGTTTTATAAATACAGGATTTTCTTTTATCATGTGTATTGAAACTTATCATATTGCACTCGAGGCTTCCGCCACTCAAGATTTTTTTAATTTTCATACCACTCCATTAAAATAAATACTGCATTTACAGGGAAAAAAACTTGAATAACTTGAATATCTTACATGTATTTAAAATAATAATTGTGATTTAAAATATTAGTATGTCAATTGAAAATTAATCAATATTTACATTATTTATAACCAACAATATAAACATGTAGAGATGATATTTGTTTCTTTTGCATGTAAGATCGAGACAAATTTCACAGAGTGAACACCAGATGTTATTCTTTGACGAGTGGTGAAGCAACAAGTAAGAATGTAAGATACGTATTCACGAGTGAAATATAATTTAATCGTACATACAAATTTTCTAATTTTTTTTTAATTTATGCTTTTAGTTACAGCAAGCATCTAAATGTGTAGTAATTTTTCTTATTATTGTTGTCAGGAGAAATGTCTGCCTTGGTGTTATTTAATCTAAGGAAGGATTTAGCATTAAATACTAGAAGCAATTTCCAAGATATGGGGGCTGGGCAGCACCGCCTGACATAAAAGTGAAATATTCTCAGTTGGAAAACTAGCATGTAATTGTTTAGTTAACACTATTTTTTAAGGTATTTTTATCTTTTTCTATCTCAAATCAATATATACATTTAAACAACAAACTCTGATTATTATTTACACCCAAAACAAAGAACTTTGATCATTATTTACACCCAAAACAAACACACGTCATTTATCAGCCACTTATACGTAATATCTTTTCACGTATACGTCTTTTATACGAAACAATACTAGACACCTAGCGAGCCCAAGCTCTAAACAACTTTTGATCAAACAAAACAATAAAATCACCACAAAATGAAGAACATAGAAATGACTATTTTATTACTCTAAGATACAGTATAAACCACAAACATTCATCCAACAACATTAACTTCATACAATCTAATCAGCATTAGAAAAGCAAACTAAAGTACCCAATATTTACATATATTCTCAAAACAAAGCATCAACTAATATAATCTCGACCAGACAAACATTCAACCAATATCAACACAAACAGATATAACTCAACAACCAAAACAACTAATTACAACCAATAAACCCTGATCAATTAAGATCACCACAATTATATTCACCCAACTTCAACAAACCAACAAAACTCCCTTTAAACTTTTCAACAAAAAATAAACGCTACACACTATCAGCGTGTCTCTCATAAACTGATGTAAAATCTCTCTCAAAACGTGCATATTTGCTAGCTTAAACGTTAAACGATCTGACTTTTACATGTAGATATATTTTATACTCCCAGCAACAGGTTTATAAATGAAACTGTACATTGAAATCTGATACACTTCAGTGTATCGCTGACTCGTTTTTCATGTTCAGGTTTCCATATGATTTTATTTGGCTGTCCTTTCTTCGTACGATCTGTCAAGGGTGCAGCAATTTCTGCAAATGAAGCAATGAATTTTCGGTAGTATCCAGCTAGACCAAGAAATGATCTCAGTTGCTTCTTTGACTCCGGTCGCATAGCGTCTCTAATTTTGATCAATTTGTCATCTTCCATTTGTATTTGTCCTTTGCCAACAAAATGACCGGTAAATAGTATACTTTCAAATCCAATCATACATTTAGAAGGTTTAACTTTGATCTTTGCTTCTCGTATTCTTTCAAACAACTGTCTCTACATCTTCATATGTCTCTCCCATGTAACCGTATGTCCAAGCACATCGTCAACATAGTTATCAGTATCATTCACTCCGGAAAGCAACTTCCGCATCATTCTATTAAATGTTGCACCAGAATTGACCATTCCAAATGGCATCTTTCTGAATTGGTAACTACCTTCTGTTGTAGAAAATGCTGTTAGATATCTTGATTTTGCTTCAATTGGTATTTGCCAAAAACCTTTGGTCAAATCAATTTTTGTGAAGAACTTATCTTCTTTTAGTTTCGCCATCACATCCTCAACATTACCCATTAGTTCTGTATCATACTTTGTTACAGAGTTGAGTCGTCTGAAGTCAATACAAAAGCGGTTTGTATTATCCTTTTTCTTTACCAAAACAAACTATCTACAGTGAAACTGTATGATTATTCTGACAATTGTTATTCTGCTTTTGAGTTTATCCCCAGTTTAACCAATATAAATTTAATTGCACCCATTACATATTAATACATACAGTACATTTTAATTGTTCAATCTATGTCTTTCTTAATATAAAATGAATCAAAGATGTTATATTTTCGATCCTTGAAGGTCAATCAGCATTACATTTCTACAGTTTTTCATCTACAAAAGACTTTGGAATTTGTAAGACCTTCCTGTGTCAGTTATGAACGGAGGGAGAAACATGTTGACTTAAATGTATTTTATACTACAAAAGATTTTCATAAAAAAGACCATGACACCAAAGCAACACAACAAGCAATTATGTCTAAGCAGGAACAATACGAGTTATCAGGATAATGTTGAGAGCATTTTTTCTACTAGTTGTTGTATCTCGACAAACAGCTGCGTTCTGATAAATAATCTGTGTTGATTTCCAGCTTTGCATTAGAGGAAGCTATCTGGCTAGCTTACGAAAGCTTGTTGGTTCCACTGTTGTGCCTACTCATGCCTGAAATAATGCAAAGCTCTATGCTGTATATAAAATATGTATAAAATGATGTATGATAATTAACAGTTGTTAAGGTCTGGTCGAGCAGTACTTTAAACAACTTAAATGTTTGCAATATGGACATTATGCTGAATCATATTTTTGCATAATTTCAAATTAAACGTTTCTACTGCATTCCGTAATGCAAAATCAATTCAAAGATATATTTTTGTCGTTCTTCTGCGAATTCAGACAAGTTAATTTGTACTAAAATATAAATATACTTATCTGTCTATACAACTTACTTGAGAAATGAAAACAAAAACCTATTGAACACCTTAAACTGTAGTTGTAGTCTGCACAAACATATCTGATAGATGTGATGTAAAGTTTTGTTAATTATGCTAAGCAACCATTGTGAAGTTGCGATCAAATTGTCGTCTGCGCCCTTTCCGATGCAAAGATCATTGCACAATTAGTTGCAGCATTTGAACATTAATCGCAAAGAAATGATATTGCAACTACATGGCTACATAACTTCATGCTGATAAAATCATTCATATACCAAGATGCTACTCAGTTCATCTTTGCTAAACAACTTTGATATTGGAAAGTCAAAGCATTCAGTCATTCTGTTCCTTCTATTTAGATATAAAGCTTTTCTGTTGTTGTAATCGTCTAACTGTTACAGAAACAGCGGCATGTGTCAGCTTTTTGTGATATAGTGTCAGTTTCAAATGGCTTCATTTGTCTTGAAGCTATTCATTTAATATTCAATATCTACAGATACGGAACGTGTCAGCATGACATGACTCAAATAAAGAAAATATTTACAGGGAAAAATATCCTTGACAAAATTCAACGACAGAAGTATACTAGTATAATTTCGATCATAAATTATCGTTAAGCAATTACTGTCATTTTTAGTTCCCTCAATTTTAACATTCATTGAATGTGGAAAAAAGTGTTAAATTGTACTTTTTAGCCTGTGGCCTTTGGCTTTACCTGCGTCATTGTTGAGACATGAAGGCACGAAAAAAGGTGGCAAATCGGCAAGTCCGCGTTTGTTATTTACATTTCGTTTAAAGAATCCATTGCTTGTCAGATGCTTTCCACGTGCTAGTGCGGCTCATTTGACATTTGACTTTTAAATACCTTAAAATCTTGTTTTCGAGACTGTTATGACACTTATTTACGTATGTTTGCTTTTACATGCGACAATGTTTTTCGAGAGATATCCGAGAAATGTTCAGGATAATCCCCTTTTTATTTTATTTTCTTGATTGTTTATTACGTCACGGTAATTTTGCACACTATCAATTACCGTCCACGAGAATGGCATTCATTGTGCAAAGAAAGACTTGAAAATCATTAAATCAGAACATTCTGATGGACGAAAGTTTAGTTTACTAGGTTTACTCACAATTCTTACAATTCTTCCATGCACTAAGAAATATAGAACCATTAAAAAGTTAAATTGGGAAAAGTCCCCGTTTTCGTTTGGTATTAAGCGTTCAGGAAATTAATTTATTTACCCCCGCTCGAATTGTGCAAATAAAAGCTTAAAAATCATTATCTCTACGCATTTTAATGGAATAAATTTTAAAGGTTTAATTTTATAGGTTTAATCACGCTTGAAAAATTCTTTACAACAAGAAAATATAGTCATAAAAAGTTAAATTAAAAAGTCCTTTTCAGTATTCAGTAATAAAAAAGTCTACCTATCTAAGTCTATCATGTACCAGTAATAAACGGGGGAAATGGCATGTTCA